TAATGAACAACTTATTTTAAAATCTCTTACTAACAACAGCATGAATGTAGACTAAGAAATGCTTTCTAACTCCTTGCGTGAAACTAGTGCTAAAAATGCTTAGCTATTTTTACTAAAGTTCTTTTAATATGACAGCATTTTACTATTAAAAGGCTACTGTAACTTTTATAGAACTGGTTCCTTAATTACCGAACTACAGTATAATACATAATACTAATTAACGGCTTCCCCCAACAATTACCTTGAAGGTAGAAAGGACCTAAATTAAGATGTTAAAGAGGTCAAATATTTCGTACACAACGTTAATTTACTTTTTGAAAATGAGTACAAATCATACGAAGTTTTGTATTTACGAGTATAAGGCAGTAGGAATCGAGCAAAAGGTGGTCCTTTACGGAGGAGCCCTTAGCTTATTAATAATGCTTATCCTGATTCAGATATACTTAACAAAATGCCTACACACACTCTCGAAAGGCAACTCGCCTTGATTGAAAAACACAAATTATCGAGTTTTTTTTTTAAAAAATAATAAACATAAATTAAACCTGCTAGAAACTTAAAAATTTTGAAAGTTATCTAATCAAAAATATTTTATAGCGAGATGTTACACTAAAGTTATTATTATATGGGAGGCCCCTTTATTTCCTCTCTTAATTAAATAAACTTAAAAACTTCTCCTGAACAATTCTATAATTTTAAATTTCTTTTGGGTAAAATTTTACGTTATGCGCAATACAGATAATGATAGAGGCCTTTTAAATGAGTTAATTGATAGAGAAATAAGCCTAACCTAATTTTAAAATTTACTTCAAGCCACTAAATTGAGGACTCCTCAGTACTTAAATCTTATAACTACGTCATCCAACCTCTGAAAAAAATTCTACTCCTTAGGTAAAGTAATAAACTTGTTCTTCTAAAGCGTATTCCTTTAGCGTTGGAAGTATAACACAACTCTTATATAGTAACCAAGTAAAGATGCCTACAAGTTTAAACTAAGCGAAGGTCTTTGCAAACTTTTGTTTAGCTTAACCCTATAGATAATTAAAAAGAATGGTGAAATGAGACTAGGAACTTCTTCTCTTGCCACGTAAAATAAAATTTATACATTAAGAAAATAATTAGCCTACGAACATGTGTGCAGAAACCATTAATAAAGAAATTTTAACGTTTGAAACAAAAGTTTAAACTAATAGAATCGAAATTAAAACTTGAATAGCGAATGTAATGCAATAACTATAGGAAAATATGTATATACTACCCGCGAATAAATTAGTATTTTTTACTGTAGCACGCTAACTTCATAATTATTTAATTTTTAAAATCTCCGTATTTAAAAACAGTAGACCCTTTTATTATCTTATAGCTTGCAGTTTTTACAAAATTTACAGAGCCTGCTAACTCAAGGAACCAACAGAAATTAACCGCAAATTTAAGAGAAAACGCCCCCAGTTGTGCGCGACTAATCCGTTATAAGGGCGTACAAGTTCGGCTCTTGTAACGGGGGATAAAATAATATAAGCGTGCTATTGATTGGAGTTCGCTATTAAAAAACATTTTCATTAGTTTACGCAAAAATAAAAATTCTTAAAGCAAAAGGATATTTATTGGACAAACAAAACGTAAATTAAGCAAGATTACAAAGGCTTCATATTTTGCATACCACCTTTTAATAATCAAAATTTATAACAAATAACTTATACAGCAATTTTACAACTATTTAAAAGTGTATGCGAGATTAAAAAAAATTAGTATTACACAGTTTAAAATAGGAGAAACAACAATGTAGCTACGAATAGTAGGTTTTTCCACTAAATATAAACGTAAGATGAATGACTTAGCAAGGTGTCATACTGGTCTTTGTAAACTTACTTTAAATAAATTGTGATGTAAACTCGGTATAGATTATAAAACCCATTAGAAATTTTATGACTTAACCCATTATTGCATGTATGTTGGCAGGACACTTAAAATACTAGAGTTAGTTAAAAAATAACTACAGCTAAGCAAATTGTCCGTACCGAATTAAAAACACGTAAGATTACTAATTTAGTATAAAACTCTTTTCATTAAGGTTTATATAATTATTCCGCCCCATAATTTTCTTGATATATGACTTTAAATAATTAACTTTCCCGTATACTTAAAAATAGCCCCCTCCTCTTTTTAGTTATATTATTAATTTTTTCAATACTCTTACAATTATATTTTGGTGAATAATACCTCAAACGAATTGCGGAGTGGTGTAAGGTTTTTACTGCGATAATAGAGTATTCATTTAATAAATTAATTACGATTAACTAAATTTCAAAGATTAGATGCAAACATATTTTATTGCTATACTTAAAATTTTTTCCCCCTTTATGAAAAACAAAAGCTTTCAGTTATTGGATTTATTTTGCCGAAGTTTCAAAGCAGGTAGTAACTTAGGACATGGTTAGGTGAGCTGATTTTATTATTTAAAGCCTCTTTTCAACCCAATAAAACTCTATATATAAATATAATATACAACACTCGATACCTACTTAATGAATGTTAATAAAAAAAAGGTCTTTGTCGCAATGAAACTAGTCCTTTTTTTAGTGTATCAAGTACTACCTATTAAGTATTATATATCCCATATAAGGGGCAATTAAGTAAGTGTAACCCATAATTAGGGTATAAGGGTTTAATAATATACAACTTGAATATTGTATTTAATATAAAAAATCAGCAAAGTGTTTATTAAATCCACCTACTAGATCCAACTTATTAAGAAAATTAAAGTTATAAACAATCGGTAATATACATTTGTTATAGCAAGGAACACTAAAGAGGTTATACTTCTAAAACTAAAGGATATTTAATTCAGGAGAGATAATAAAACACCAACTTTATCTGCTAATTTCATGGATCCGCAACTCTAACTTTTCAAGATTTTTTATATACTGCGTCGAACCAGAATCACGTTTGTCGATAAGACAACGTTTTATTTAGGTTTTAAATTAATTTTAAAGATACAACTTTTATGTATTTATTAGCATAAAAGGTATAAAGTTACCGTTTATAAAATGTCGAAATGATAGTAAATTATAAGGTAATCGTTCTTTTTACGAAACTACAAATGAATCTAAGTTATCTTTGAAACTTCCAACCAGTAGACGCTTACTATTTTATAACACAAGCAACCTAATGCGGAAACACCAAATATGAAGCTTATTAGTTATTAAAGAGAGGTCCTTTGGATAGCAGACTTTTAAAAAGTCAAATGGAATTAATTAAAAAAATTATAGCGGGGAACATACAGCACCAATTTACTTACAACTTGTTTAGTTAATGATAGTAAACTAAACAATTTATAATTTATGATTTTGCAGCAAAAGACACGGAGAGAAATTGCTATAAAGCTATATTAGCAGTTCTTCAATCCCGAAACTAACACTGGGCTTTGAGCAGCAGTTAAACCGTTAAAAGTAATGTTTATATGAAATTAATCGTATTACAACAATATTTTTAGTCGCGTTTAATTTAATTGTTATTCGTTTTTTAACAATATAAACTTGATGAAGTTAAATCTTTGCGCCATGGAAGTACACTGTTAAAATTAAATTTACATTATGCTCATTATGAGATTTTATTAAACTTAAACCTTATAATTAATCTAGTTTTAGATAATAGTAAGGTTCTGGTCCACACTCACTTTGCGCCTCGACTGAAGCTGTTAATTATTAAAACGTAACAAAATTTACTACTTAAAATTAAATCTATTAAATTTAACTTTAACAATGACATGCTACTACCTTTCTATAATCATTATATTTGCGCTGTTAGAAACCCCGTTTAATTACTGCATCTAGGCACTTTTGGTTTTTAACTACAAAATTAAGGCGGAGCGCTAAACAAGATCTCGTTTCTATAAAGGTTATAATTAATAAAATTGAAACATTCACTGCATTAAACGTTTAATGTTAATATTTGATAAAATGTCAATACAAACAATAATCCTGCTAATTTTTTACCAATATGTAAAAACGGAGTTAATATTCTAAGGCTCCATATAAACAATTACCGTGCTAACTCTTATCTTATGGATAGCAGATTTTGAAAGCTAGATTGTATAGGCATTTTTTTATATAAATCCATATTATACGAAGATGTTAGGGTTTAGTACTACTAAAACAAATAGTTGGGCATTGAGAGCCGTTAGAAGCAGTTGTTAAGCCGTTAAATATAATAGAAAGATCGTTTTGCGTAAATTAAATGACAGGATTGGGCAATTAAAAAAAAAGATATATTTTGCATTTATTACAAACCTGTGTTTAGCTAACAGAGATTAAATGATTGCTTCGTGTTGTCGAACGCAATAGTTGTTATAAGAAAGTTATAAGTTAAATTGATTTAGTAGAACTGTTAAAGCATTTACAAAGGTATTTCATCTGTCTATATTTAGCTTTGGTGACTATTAAAGCTAGCCAAATTATTCAACGATTTTAGTTGCAAGGATAAAGCAGTATTGGAAATTCTACTAGTTAGAGATGTGAATTTGTTGTTGAAATGGTTATTAAGGTGTGGGGAACAGCTCTATTTAGTTTTAAGATAATTTTTGTCAGTTGAAAGTTAAACTCAAATAACATTTTTATGTCCGTATGAATAAGTTATTTTGTTCGTAAGAAAAAATATTTATATTATGATTTTATATAATATTTTCTGTTCTTTAGCTATATAATTAACATTAAATAAACAGTTTATGTTTTCTATATTATGCATCTATAATTTTAGAAAAAGACTTTCATCATCCAATAAGTTCTCTCACGGCTAAATCTTCGAGAGTATAATACAATTCACTTTCTATGCTATGCTTGTCAAATATAATTTTATAAACATAAGAGTACATAAGACTACTTGATCACTAGTAAGTGAAAATGGCGAAAAAAAAAATTCCCTAAAAAATAAACATAAAACATTTTTTATTTTAAAGATAATTTTTAACCAAAGATGTAGCTTTTAAAATCCCTTCAATCACACAGTATTTGAATAAAAGCAACAATATTTGGCCAGTTATTTATAACCAATGCTGCGTGGCATAGTTATCCTATTTCCAATTAAAAATTTTAAAAGGCATTCGAAGTATTTTACTTATTATAAAAAAAGGCTTATATTGTGATTATGGTTTTAGCGATACCTATTTTTTGAGATATTTTGTTTACTTCTCCACCTTTCTGATTAGTTTCGGCTTCTCTGGTTAAAATTTTATCGTAATTAGTAGTTTATATTCGAGTGAAACTACATATTTGACCGAGTCGGATAATAGGGTTATGCGTCTTTCTTGAACTTTTGCGTTTTAAATCTGTTGTGTTGTCACCACTAAGCCTTATTCATTTCTAAGCTGCAATTTTTAATTTTTCTGGTAAATCCTCCTTACCTTAATTAACGCACCGCAAATATTTTGTGTATTTACAATCAATTTTAAGCAAAGAGTCGCCTGTTCAGTGTAAACAGATGAATTATGTAAATCTAGATAATATATTTTCACTATTTTAAGAGTTTCTTCTCGTCTTCTAAGCAAAGCCATTTGTTCTTTTCGCTTTTTTTCGAAAACCTTATCTTTAAGAATCAATGCTTAATTTTAATGAGCTTCGGGTATAACGAAAGGGAAATGATACCTTTTTGGTGCAATGTTAGTTTAATTAGGAGTTAAGGCACCAACAGCCTATAAGAAAGGTTTAGTTAGTGGAGTTTGTTTTTATTTATTAACAATTTAGTGTTTGCAATGTAATTTTATAATACTCACTTATATTTTCAGTACTCAGATAGCAAAACGGGCGTCCTCCCTAAGAGAATATGGGGAGATTAGCTAAACGTTGCTCAGTATGCCGGCAAAAAAACCGCAAGTGTACGGGAAACAAACCATTTTGTGCCAAGGTCGATTTAGTGGACTTTTCTTCGGTATCAAGTAACCAAAACACGGTGAAGTATATGAGTCTTAAATGTGAGCTCGTTAGGTATGCAAGCTACAAGTTTATTTTTATTGTTTAGCAATGAACGGTAAATATTTGTCGACCTTTATTGCTTAAAGTCAATTGTTTAAATAACATTATCGTCATTTCTTCTGCTCAGAAACAAGAGCTTTATAGAAGCTAAAATGCCATCAGCTATAAACACATCTTTAACACTTTCAGGAGATGCGACTGACCATGCCGCTGTACGTCGACCTTTCTTCTTACTTCCAATAGTTCCTCAATTTTTTTTACTTATTTCATAGAACAGAAGAAGTCACAATACCTTACAGGCCCAGACTTTTAGAGAAGGTAATAAACTTTTTAATTGCTTCAGTTAATAATAATTATAATAACAAGTACTAACAAAGGCATTGTTAATAATAACCTTCGCTTACTCGAAGGAAAATATGAAGGGGTTCCAATTTTAGGTTCCCCGAGCATCGAAACTTCGTCGTCTTACCAACCATTCAACTCTCTGGGGTCAGCAGTTTTTTTAACTGTCTTCATTGTTTCTCTTTAACAGTTGTAACAATTAGAACCTTTTCCTACTCTCGCATAAATGAACAGGCAGACTTTATAGGTAAAAGGAAAATTAAAGTTGGGATAAAAAACCCTCAAAATTCTCACCAAAATTTACCAGAGAAACCCCGTCAACAAGGTAAGATTACCTAATGACGTAGCAGTTATGCAGCAAAGTATATTAGTGGAGTAGCGAAGTGCACATGGTTTTTAGAAACCTTTAAAGTAATATGGAGCTTATAGTTATTATTTTAGTTTCGTACTCACGCATTCTTTAATTTTAATATGAAAAGTAGATTCGTAGTTACTAAAGCCAATTTTTGTGATTTTTACACAATAGTGCTCCGGGAACGCCCAATAAATATTAATAGCCCCACTCAAGGGCAGATAAAACCTTTCCACGGCAGTAATGTTACGGGGGAAACTAGCATGTTTAGGTGCAGTAGTTCCGAATTATATGGAAATAGTAGAATAAGCGATAAAAATAAAGTGGTCAAGGGTAACGCGTTAAATAACTACAGTGGTAGTAATAATAACAGTAATTATAATAATAATAACAATGCTATTATAAATAGTAAGAACTTCAGACTTTTTCAAAATGTTTCCTTACCTCTTCAATTAGAAAACAAAATTCACAACCCCACTAAGACTAATTGTAATGATTATAATGGTATAATAATTAAAAAAAGTGGAAACCACTACTTAAACGATAATACCGGCCACAGTGATACTACATGTACTAATAATACTTCTGACAGTAATCGTAACATGAGAAATAGTTATTATAATAACGGTAATATTCAACAGTTTGATAATTTAAAATCTTTTAACAACGTGAATGTCGACCTCATAGGAGAAATTGGAGGTAATGTAGCCGATATGAGCTCTTGGGAACGAGCATTGGAATATGATATATCGCTGGAGAACCTTTGCGATTTATCGATTAGTCCGGTCTACTTCAACTACGATTTGCAGCCAAACGAAAATAAAAAAAACGCAATTCCTATTCTTATAAATACTACATCGGCAGAGGAATACAATACTTCTACAGATGGTATAAATATAGGTAGAAGCAACGACTCCAACGGCGGTTGCATTGTCGTCAGTACTGAATCGGTGAATCAACAGAGACAAGAAGCCAAACGTCTGGAGACCCTACAACAGTTGAATCAATGGAAGAGACGTAATTCTCAAGTTAAAAAAGTAAAAGCCGAACCTCAAAGGGGGACAAATTTACTACTAGCACCGGCACAAACTTACGGGGAAAACTTTATGTTAAACCCTTGTATTTCCATTCCAAAGCGAGTGTGTCCAGGTCAATTATCGGAACTCCAAGCCGTTCAAAGTCTTCATTCGTCTAATAATTCTTTAGTTAATGATTCAATACAATTGTCCTCATTTGGGTCCCTTCCGCAGCGTCTAAACTTACTCAATTCTCTTCCTTCTTTTCAAATACAAGAAGTCGCTCAAAAGCAATATCCATGCGCCTACAGGGCTCACTCCTTTGGTCCCGTAAAATCTAGCGCTGGAATTATAAGTGATATAGCTGCGCCATTGCCCTCTCGTTTGGTAAGCAAAAAATCAAATTCCCTGGTTCCCACGATTTTATCGTAATACAAATAATGGACATATTACTTAATAAATATTGTAAGTTAACTTGGTATAAACTCTGCTAAATTTGAAAGCACCGGAACATAATAATGTGCATTTTTTAGAATCTCTCCTGAAAACGCATTTATAATAAAAACTTGATGTTTTAAAGCTCTAAGGGATTCCTATATTTTCCTTTAGTTTCATAGGGTTATATAAGTACGCTTTACTGCTATTATATTGGAGTTACGCCAAGTTTGTAGAAACAAATTCCAATCGCGCATAGGGACACCGCAGGTATTTTTTAAATATAAAAATCAAATCTAAAGATTATATATTTTGCAAATTAAAAAAGTTAGAAAAGTTTTTAAAAATCCAACTCCATAAAATTTCAAAATACGAGTTTCTAAATCCTTAGTTATGGTCACCATATAAATATGAAAATAGTCAGTAGTATAAGGGATCGATAATAAAAAGGAGGAATCGATTACAACAAATAAAGTTCTTCAGTGTAAGTATACATAGTCTTTTTAATATGACTTGAGGCGTGGGACGAAATTGTAAAACCGAAACAAAGCTACTAACCTTGAACTTTTATTTTTAAGAATGAATTTGAACCTTTTTTCTTTTGAAATAAGTAGTTACTTGTAAAGTAAAGGGAGGAAAGAAAAAAAACATAAATAGAAACAAGAAATTAACAATGACAACACCTTTAAATACTAAATAGAGAAAATAAGGGTAATTATAAAATACTTTGATGGTAAAATTTAAAGACCGCAAGTAAAGGGAAAAAAACTATAATAATGGATAATTTAGGAAAAAATGTTAGGAATAGAAAACAAAATTAATTGGATTAATTATAAGTTATAGAAGAGAGAGAAAAAATTTTATTAAAGAAGTAAAAAAGGTAACGAATACTTAAAAGCATATTAAATAAAACAATACGAGTCTAAGTAAAAAAAACACTTTTGGGAGCGATAAAAAGAACAAAAAAAAAAGCCTAGCTTTATTAGACCGTTACAGTTGTAACGAATTTTAAAACAATCCAATTTTAAACTCTCTTTACCAAAGGCTGAAAGGATAGGTCATATAAAATAAAAAGACATGAAATAATTATCAAGAAACAAAGCAAATACGTAGCGTACGTGAAAGTCATAGTTAAATCAAAATTTAATTAACAAAGGAAAAGTACGAAAAACTGAGTAAAACGCCTTGCATAAAAGAAATTCTCTAATGAACTATTTAAGACTCTAAAAATCCTGTATATCTATTGGGTCTTTAACTCTTAGTGTAAACCGTGAAGTAATTCCTTAAAAAGCTCCGGTATATTACGTTTATAACTTTTGTTTTTTATAATTAAGTCAGAAAACTAACTCTCTTATTCTTACAGTTGTAGTATCCCTCAAATCGAAAAAGTTAAAAAAATTGAAGTACACACCGTTATTGGCATTAATAATAAATTGCAAAAAAAAAAAAAATTGGTTAACATTACGAAAGCAGTAGCTATTGATAAAAAAAAACAGAATAATTTGTGATAACTTTTTGAGCTAAAATTTAGACCGAGCTATCATATGAGTATTTTTACCTACTTAACTTTCAAGAAAGCTCACTTTGATATTTCTTAGCGTAAACTCTGCATTTGAACTCCACACAGTATGTCTCCTTATTTAACTGGCTTTCCTATTCCCAAGCCAGTGTTTGCAAAAGGTTTTCAAAGAAGTGGAACCACTGCTAAATATTGGGTGCTTAAAAAACTTCATATTGCTCTTTTTAAAAAATTTCTTCGCAAGCCTTCACTCTCACGGACTTAAAATGAGGCCCATCTACTACACTATTCCGCAAAATTGTTTCAATGTTTTGCATTTTTTCATTTTTTTTTTTAAATAGAGTAACTTTTCCATTACTTAATGGATTACTCTAAAATTTATACACAGTAAACTTCTATGTTCCAGTTACATTTTGTTAATACTTGATCTTAAATTGGTTTAATATTCGAAAAGATATGAGACTGTAAAGTTTAAAGATTATAGAAACAATTTTGCATGTAGGAAAAATTTAATGTAATAAACGAGGTATTAATAATTATTATAGCTCCCTTTTGCCAAACTCACTGCTTGTACTCTCTTTGGCATACTGGCAATCAGACTGTAGCATTGAACCGGTGTTACATTTCTCCAGTGTGATTGCACACATGCCCAAAGTTCGTCCAAATTAGCAGGAGCTGATTCGTATGATCCCCGTTTTCTCTTCGCCCATGACTGCTTAATGGAATTGAGATCAGAAGATTGCGGAGGTCAGCCTAGCACATGGAACGACCGTAATTAAAGCCAAGATCCTACCGATAGTGTTGTGTGACATGGGGCATTATCCTGTGAAAAACCATTTCACCAAGACCAAGGCCATACTAATCGCAAGTTCTGGGTAGGTTATTCTTTATAATGTCTAAATACGTGCTTGAGGTGATGATCCCTGTCACATTTTTCAAATAGCCTACCCCCTTAGATGTTTTACAGGACCAAATTATAATCGATCCCCCTCCCCCATCTTTATACGTTGCACCATCTGGCGATCAAGTCTCGATTATTACAGGAATCGCTTCCAACACCACCTAATATCATCTGAGTCACACCGAATGATCTCGCCCGAAAAAATTACCTTTTCCCTGACAGAAATGGACCAATTCTCGTACTTCTTCGCAAACTCAAAACTTAGTCCCTTGAGACGGTCTGTCGAAGTGGGTATAATTAACTTTGTTTTTCGCATGGAGGTCAGCAGAATGCAATGCTCTTGAAACTAGTCTATCTAATGCTGTTTCTATGGTTTTTGAAGCTTTCTGTGCAGTTTCAATCGCCCCCAATGTCACTTCCCCTCGTATAGGTCAAGTCACATCCCGGTTTTTCCAGGTCTTTGGACGCTCAGATTCAATGCAAGGACGATTTGGACCATAATGAGCTTGGATCCAGGATATTGTGGCCTTACGACACCCCATTCACGGACGATCTCAGTGTAAAACCTGTCTTCTAAAGACATTTTAACCATTTTCTTTATCGATTGAAAGTTTACGCACTATTAAGTTAAGGCCTCTAAATAAGCTATCCTTTATAATCACTCAAACGCTTTAAAAAAAAACCCTTATGTTGGAATGATAGTAAAATTTCTCATAATTGAAACAAATTTGTACGTGTCCCTCTATGCAAAATTGTTTCAGTGGATACTTAAAATTAAAAAGCGATAAAGACTTAAGAAATTAATTCCTCTAATACAAACTACATTAAATAGATCTTAATCTAAGTTATATATATATATAAATATAAGGGATACATATAATCAATTATTAATTAAAGCGTTATAGAATCTTTACGTAAAAATTTAAAACAGAAAATATTTTTGACGATAACGTATAAGACAAGTAAATATTAGGCATCTTTGCTGAGGTCAGTTACATAAAAAGTTCCCACTGAAAAAGGTGATAAATAAACTAACATCTAAGCAAAGGCCTGTGGTTCTTAAGGGACCAGAAAAATATGTTAAGCAATGCGTAAAATGAAAATCTATATTAAGGGCTTTAGTCAGAGTGTAAGCCATCGTAGACTATGCTACCTGTGGCCTTGTCAATATCCAATTTGCTCAACAAAAAAAATGAGTATTACCACAACTGTTCTGAAGGGGTTAGTTGTTTATAGGAGTACAAATTTTGACTGATAAATAAAATGAAATGGAGCGAAGATCACCTTAGTCGTTTGCAAAAAAAAAACTGCAGTTTTTTGTTTTTTTTTTTTGCAATTATGTTGGAAGCAGTCAGTTAAATTTTAAAGAAATTTTTTACTAGATAAATTTACTTAAGCTTAAGACGATTCACAAAAAAGTTTAAAACAGAATATATGTGCAGAGTTTATTGTTTTTGCAGAAGGAGGCTAGTCTTCGAGGCTATATAAAAATAACAGTGATCTTCTGAAACACAAGGCTAATACGAGTGCCATTCTGTTGGGGTTGATACCTTAAGAAATAATTACCAGTCCCCTTAAGGCTATCGTTAACTTTTTGGCGTAGTGTGAAAAATCTAACACGTTTTAAGTAGAGAGTAAAAGGATGGGGGCGTCGTGAGGTTTCTGTTAAAGTGCTTGACTGTATTAGGTAAATCAAGATCTTCAATATTGAAGTGAATGTGTAACTGTATAAGATAAAAGAGCCTTAGGAGGAACAAATTATTAATATTAATTTTTTGCTGGTTAGGCTATATAACATTCGGAAAGTTACGTGTATGTTGAGACCCCACATAAAGAATAACTAAATAAAGAAAATAAGAGACCGGATACTGTCAACAAACGTTTAGAAATCGCTTATAAACGAGATTGTTTATTCCTTAATTACATGTACTTTCTTTGCCCCCGTTGTCGAAATTAATAGGTTTTCACCCAACTTTGGCCCCATATTGGAAGTCTTCGCCCGATATTCCTCCGCTGGCTATCAGATTCTCTGAAGGCCCCTTGAACTTCTTTTGGAGAACACGTGCTGGTGTGGCAATAGCACCCCAACTTCTTTCGGTGTAGAACTGGAAATACAGATTAAGTACTTTAAAGCGCTTATTCCTTAGTATGACACCGTTAAACAAAGTCATAGTTTAACATAGGAAAATTTTTTATACCTTTCGATTTTAATTGATTATTTTAACATAGAATTGGTAAAATTTTTATGATATAGTACTTAAAATGTCCATAAATTTAACAAAGAAAGGGTAAAGAAGAATGTCAAGCATAGTAAGTTGTTCATGTAAGGGCGGAGAAATTACTTGGTTATTTTTATTTTTTAATACAGTTAACGTTATAACTGAGGTATAACCTTCTTATCGGTTATATAGTACTTCATTGAGCTTTATCTCGCTAATGTCTACTTGAATCTTTCTTAATATTCCGTGTACGCTATACTGAGCTTGTAAAAAGCATTGAAACTAATAGTATATATAATTATTTTAATAAAATACATTTGTACAGTATAATTTTTTTATTTTCATAATTGTGTTTTGCTATGGGCTTTCTTGTGTTAATATTGTTTTACTTTGAAGTGACCCTTATTTTAAAACCTACACATTTTAATTTGTCTACTTTTTGAAAAGTAAGTAGGCAGAACAGATATATAAGAAAATTACCTGCTTAAATTTTTTTTATATTTAAGATAAATAAATTTAATAAGTATATGCAACCATTTTTAATAGCCAAGATAGTCCTTTTAGTCATCCATCTTTGTAGTTAGTATAGGTCACTAAAGTTAAAGTTTATACTAGTGCGACGTTGAGCGTAACAGGTTGGAAATATTATGTATTTTATAATACTGTTAATATTAATAAATATATAAAGCTATTAGCTATAATAACAAGTTTTTTTAAAGGTATAAATAACTATATCTTTATGGAAATTTATAATTTATATTAAACATATACTTTTCATCAAGTCAAGTTTAAAAAAAAGAAATACTTTGCCACTTAATTGTTTAGTTTACCAATTTATTTTATATAAAATGTTAAAATAAACTGTAGAAGTTAATGAAAGATAGTTATAATAGGCAGCTTAAAAACTAAATACCATTTTCAGCTTTATCACTAAAATGTAAAATATAGAAGTTAAGCAGAGTTAGTGTCATAGGGTCAGTTTAAATCAAGATGCTATATTTCAGCTTGGTTGGTAATCATATCTTACAACTGCTGTTAATGAACGATTAATTTTAAGACCTACTTTTGAACTGATGTCTTAGCTATAAAGTTTAAGAAAATTGTTAGTAATTGAGGTTTAAAGTTTTTCATCCGATGTTTTCTTAATAATCAGGCTTAAGTTGCAATAGTTTTACAAGAAATTAATTTAAACGACTAACTTTTGAAGATTTTATCATACTTCACTTAGATAACTATATAATATAGGTCCTGAATGATATCTGAAGAAGTAGTCTTTATTACCCGCTAGATCGCTACTATATTATGTAATTCAACGATACAAAACTAGCAAATAAAGAAGCGTAAACACAGCTTTAAGATGAGAAAATAAATAAAGAAAATCACATTTATTTTATGTTTACATATAGCTAAGACTTTAGCTTTTTCCTTTTAATAAATAATAATTCCCTATTATATATGTAACTTTACTTAAGGAAATATAACTAAAAGATAGTTTTTAGATCTGACTTATTTATGTAGCAAATTAACATACGGCGTAAGTTTTTAGCTTCAAAAATAACTTCATTATCTGACTTCAGATTTTTAAATTGATATTATATATAAACATATGTAATCGTTTACGGCAACTTGAAATGAGCATTCTATTAACCTTTTTCTATTACCAACTTATAGAAAGCAACATTGTTTTTGAAAGGCGCTAAGCGATTATAGAACTAAACTCAATTTTATACTTTAAACAAGAAATTTTAAATAAAAGTCCCTATATAAAAATATTAAGTCAAGAATCTTACTGTGTTTTAGTTAAACTTAAACTTAATTGTTATTTAGGCATTAAATAACACTATTTTCACAATCGTTTTTTTAATTCTAGTGCACAGATTAATTAATAGTACACAACACACTCATAAAGAAAGTACTTAGGTACTTATATATATATGCTCTTATAACGAATCCTATTAGCAAACAAATCCTACACTGCACAAATTGTTACTAATTTCAATATTTTATGAATGCTCAGTACTTGCGTTATTTTTACAAATAATCCTAATTCTTTTTAAAAGCAATGTATAATTTTATGTTCCATAATTTTTCCTTTATACAATGAACTAAATCTATTGCCTTTAAGTAAGTTGACTGCCCATTTTTCAAAGTCACCAACACTTCCGGACGATTTTTCTATACTTAAAATACTATAGCTTATAGATGTACTACAGTAATGTTAAACGTCTTAAAAGTTGCAAAGATTATAAAATTGCAGTAATATCAGCATTGCGGATGATTTTGTTAACAGAAAGCCATAAATAGGAATTAATAAAAGCTAAAGTATATTATTACAAATGGATTATTTTAAAATTTTTAAAGAACTATATATACAATTATTAATATATATATTATAAACTTTATTAATGAATATTCCAACGGGTCAAGAATTTTATTAATAGAGATTGTTTATAGTTCTCCGTGCGACTCTGCATCGTCCCCAGGACAATTGCTGGCTGTTATTTATATGTAAAAATATAAAACTTTTAGGCTTATAAAACCTGTAAAATTGAAAATTTTGGTACATCGACTTTAAAAAAAAGTTCTCAGTATTTATACATAAGTTTTTTCTTGATAAAATCTTTTAAAGTTAGTGAAGTCGGTTACGCTAAAAAATATTGCTCAAAAAGGTCTTAAGTTGAATGATTTAAATTACCCCAAACTAATTTTTTAATAAAATAAATAATCAAAATGTCTTCTGTAACGGTTTATACTGCAAAATTATTAAAGTGAAGTAGCATGCAGAGTGCGATGTACTCCCAGCAGATTAATAATTTATTAAAGTGTTGGTGTCTTTAAATTTTTAAATTTACTTATATTATATACTTTATTTTATATAATTATTTTTAAAAACTTTAAGCCTACAAATTCAAAGGTTGTAAAAAATTTAAAAGAGCCCAAGGTTTTTATAGAGGTTTGAAAAAGGCAATATGTCTAAAGCTATTTTTTTGGAATACAAAAATTGAATTGAATTTTTTAAAATATAATGTTACTCAATATTAAGTTTTTAAGTTTAGAACAAATTTTTGTCCCTTAACTGCTATAATTTCAACAGAACTTTTACATAGTAACATTTTTTCATTTATATATCACTGTAATAAAAGGCCACTAACTATTTTCGAAATTATAAAATGTGCCTTTTAATAAATGACGTTATTAAAAAAAATTAGCTTCATACAGGTTAACAGTTTACATATATAATTAAATTAAATAACTACAAAAGAGACCTAAATCTTCTGCATTGGTAAAACGATGACCACACCAGCAACAGTAAAAATATTTTCCTAGGTAGTTATTATAAAAAGTTATGTGAAATTAAAAAAAAATCTGGCCTTTTTTATAAAAAAGTATATCTTTAGATTAAAACACGTATTATTAATTGTTAGTAACTGAAATTTTAAAAAAAAGGGAAGTCTTCTTTATAATACCTCTTAAGTACTTCGTTATTTCCTTTAATAAATTAATATTCTATATAAAAATATAGATTTTATTTTAATTCAAATTACATATTATCTGGTTAAAAGATTAGATTGATAATAATAATGTTAAGTAATACCTTCACCTCTTTTTCCTCTTCACTAATAATATCCTCTAAATAGTTTTTTTTTGTTGTGTCAAGAGAAAGGAAATAAAAAAAAACTATAGACCTTCAAGTTCAGGTTTATTCCATAAAGGGTTGTCGACAATTCCCTAAGGATTTTAATAGTTAGCGTTTTCTAATAATACAAAGTTATCAATTAAAAACATCCAAAAATATGGTTTGATAATTTTAAATAATACAAAATAGCTGACTTAAAATCAAACATTCTAAGAGTAAAATTCTTTAAAAAAGTAACATAACCAATCCTTCATTGGTTTTTTTTTAACAAATGGTTTCTCTAAGGGACCCGACCTACATCCTTCTTGGTTTGGGAAGGTAATATCCTCAGAAGATAGAAAAATAAGAAGTCTAGCTATTTAACTTTTCTGCATTATAACTTATTATTTGTACGTTTTACCTTTTTTTGTTAAGCCTGAAGTCGTGCAATAAAATTAATATTATCTTATATTATAAAAATGCCCTATTAAGTTTCGAATAAACCAGTAAGTCTACAAAAAGGTTGTTACAAGCTTTATTAGTAGTCTCGCTACACTACCAGTGAACTAAAACTGCTGTTAAGATAAGGGTCACCTTAAAAAAAAGACAACTTTAACAGTGCCTTCAAAAATAATTCGTAATTTTATATAAATTGGAAACCTCGCGCTTTAATATTACATTTAAACTCAACTAAAAAAATTTTTTTTAGAAGGATAATCCCCCATTAAGTATTTAAACAGTTTAGATGGGTAATTCTAGGCAGAGCGCAAGTATTAGGAAAAATGAAAGTCTGCTAAGCCCCCAAAGAATTCACTATATAGAAATAAAAAAGAACAAGCTGAATACGACTCTTACGATAAAGGAATCACCTCAAAATTTAAAAATATAAATGCGAATGCTATTCCAGGTTGTCTTTATAAAATTTACTAAGTGCTTTAGTACCACACAATATACACTGCAACCACGAATATATTACTTCTACTCCAATCCCTTAATAAAATTAATTTATTAATAAAAAAAATTTCTTTATTAATACGTTCTTTTTAGGGATAAAGTAAATTCATAATATCAAAAACGTAGATATGCACTTATTACTTAGATTATAGTCACCTCTTTTTTTTAAAAAAAAACTTTTATTAAAGATACAAAGTAAAAATAATATTTGTGCGTTTGCAAGTTTTATATATAACCAGGTAAATGGATTAAGTATCATTACTCGCCTCTTAAGGCGAGAAATTTATTGCACGGTGGGTACGGTCATTTTTGCTAAATACTATTAACTTCGAATTTTTAGAGCTCACTGAATTTATTTTTTTTCCAAGTAGAGTTTAAAAAAGATTTTTTACTAGTCGCTTATTAAATAGGTAGTTCTGCTGACTCCTCTTATCGGGTAGTAGCAAGAATATTATAATTATTGTTGGTCTCCGGCCTCCTGAATTTACTAACTACTTGTTTTATAGGACATTCTTTCTTATAACGATAGGGAAATCCTACATTATTAACAAAACTTTGTTAGCCAACTACCTAAACTTATAATAAGTTTCAAAAAATTCATATTTCTACAATTTTTTTAGCTAAATTGTTCCACGAAACCTAAAACAAGTGAGCCCTTTAAAAAAATCGTTATAAAAGCTGTGTTGCCCCACCGCAAAATCTACTCGTAAATAGCTATAACTAAAAAGCTTTAAGAAATTTATTTACACTCTTAACAGCCAAAGAGTTTTCACTTAACTAAGAGAATTTTTTAACAATAAATTCGCATGAATAGCAAGAAATGCCTCGATGAAGGGTTGTAACTAGGTTTATTTAAAAAGAGGGGGGGATGCGCTGAAATTAAAAGTTACTGACCTTTTTAATTTCATTAAATCGGTTTTGAATAAATTATAGCAACTGATAAATTAAAAAAGTAATTAGTTGATTACATATTATTCATATATAAAAAAGTTATAACAAACTAATATATAGGTTCAACAAAATAGTTACTATAAGTAAATAGTTAACCATTATGGCAAATATTAATATAAATATATAAACATTTTCTTTATCTAAAGTTTCACAAGCAAATTCACTCATTTTCAAATAACGCTGAACAGATCTTCTACTTGTAAAAAAATAGTTAACAATAATTAGTACATAAAACTATTTATAATAACTTCATAGCTCGTAATAATAAGAAATTTAGTAACTTACTATTATTATAATTAAGTAACCATATACCTTTTTATTAACGTTAAGTTTTTATTTTTAAATAAAACTTTTATCTCTTCATTCTTTTGTTCTTTCTTTTCAAGTATTTGTCTTTCCAAAAATATCTTTTCCTCTTGTTTTTTTTGTTCATATTCTTTTAATCCCAAACCTTCTCTACCTAATAATTATCATTAACTACATAATAAAAAAGTAAGGCGATTCCTTATAGAATAAAATTTTAGTTTTAAAATTTAGTTGTTTCGATAATTTCTTACCAAACAGAAGAAAAGGAGCAATCGGCTCTTTAATGCCTTCACGCCGTTTTCCTATCCCTTCACCAATTCTGAAAAGTTAATTATTATAAGTATAGGCATAAAAAATATTACTATTATTTAAGTTTCCAAGAAATACACTATTTACTAAACGAGACTTATAAAATATAATCATAAGCACAAAAAAATATTATTATAAAAAAAAAGAAATAAAGCAGTCAAAAGGTTAAAAGCTTAACAAATTTAAAAATAAAATTATTGAAAATTAAAATTAATCGTTATTAGTGAGAGTGTGAAGTAAATTTAAAAGTTTGTTTTTCTTTATTATTATTTTTATACTTACCAAATCCTATAAAATATTTAACATAACTGATAGACGAATTAGAGAAAATGGATAAAATCTTAGCAAGTGCGCTTAGCTTCAAAGCAAGTATAAAAAGTTTTTACGATAATGAAAAAAAATGAAATTAAAATTTATAATAGAAATAAGTTTTCACTTCAACTTTGAAAAATTAAAAAAGCTTAAAATTTACAAATATTTTAAAAAATATACTAAATTAAAAGTACGGTTTTTCGACCTTTTAGTAATTACTTTCTATTAGAAAAATCTTCTGCTAATTTAGTATTTCAGTTGTTTACAATTTATTTGAAATTTATATATAAAAGCAAGGAGTTTCTCAACCGAAATATTAGTATAAATGCACTGTATTTAAAATTTTTAATATTATGTTAAAAATACACCGATGAAATGCAAAGTGGTTAAATAAACTTGCAGGAGGTAAACCATTACTAAGGAATTAATTCTCTATGAGCGTTAATTACAAATAATAACTTTAAAATTTTCAATAGTATTGAAGAATTAACTATATAAAATGTTATTATAATGATAGCACCAAAGAATAATTCAAACCTAAAAAAATATATTTAGACGAAAATTTATGGGCGCCAGTAACATTTAAATAAATATATTAAGCTTGTAAAATAAGTTTTGATTTCTAAAATAATAATAATAGTAACAGTAATAAGAGTGAATACTTATAGCCCATTTTCTCCATAAGTTCGAAGCCTTTATTATCAGCTGCTATTGGAGATGCAGAGATAATTGCAGAAACATTTTTTATATTTTTCTTTTTTTTATCTATCTTAGAGTTCTTTATACGAGTAACTTCTCTAAATTAGAAAAAATCTTTAAGAAAGATATTGACTTTTTAAAAAATTTTAAAAAATGTGTAACTTTATTAAAAAAAACCGTTCAGAAAATCGACTTCCGCTCAAAAACTTTACTACATAAGTTAAAAACTTCATGTTAAACTTAAATTTAAAAAATATATATACAGCTTATAAAAGCTAATAATATTATTTTACTTTAGCGAAAAAAGTTTTTAAAGTAAAAAGTTAATTAACTACGAACAGGAGAGAATAAAACAATATAATAAAGATTTACAAGATTTGCTATATACTTGACAGTAATTTGCTAATATTCAATAAAGTAGGTACTATGAAGTTATTAATTTTGAAAAATACTTTTACTTTATAGTATACTAGTAATTAAAAAGTTAAATAAACTTTTAGAAATTAACAATAAACTTCCTATAGGCAAATTATAAAAAGTAAATCAGTTAAAAGTATAGCTAAATAGATTCTGAATAAGTTAACGTTTTTTAACCTCTATTTAAATATATATAATAAAGTATACTTAGTTTTATTATTTTTTAGAGATTTTAATTTTAAATTAGTTGACTCTTTTTCTGCTTGTAACAAGAAGAAGTCTGATAAATAATCCTCCTCCTCAGATTCTGACATTTCGAAAGAAGTCAAACACCATGGTCTAAACTTTTAAACAATATTATTTAATTTTTTTAGTATAAAATATACATGAATTATTATAATAGAAAAGATAGTATATAATAACTTTATGTAGTATCCTTAACGTTGAGTCTTCCGTCAGAACTGATTTAAACTATATACTTAATTTTAAGTCAAAGATTATTGTTTGTAAACTAAATTACTTCTCTTCTAAGTTATAACAAGAGTTTAATGAATTGTAAAATATTTAATATGGAAATTGTACTTATAAATAAGACAATAGTAAAAGAAAAATTTAATGTTACCCGTCTCGAAGTTTATGTTAATAGGAAAAAAAAGTTATCCTGAAACCTCCCCTCTCGCGGTACTGCGCGAGTATCGATGCATTTTTACTGTAGTTTTTATAACTTTTATTACTTATTATTTGTAGGCCTCCATCTTTGTTTACGATATTTCTGTATAGATTAAATAATATGCAAGACTCGAAAAAAGTTAATTCACCATATTTTCATTATGGTTTAAACGTTAGAACTACGTTTTACACATCGCTTTTGCCTACCATGTAATTACTTTAAAGTTATTGCTTTGTACTAAGAAGCGCTAATAATTTTTATTTTTAAGGATTATGAAAAGCATTTTCGTTTCCCATCTACAAAAAAAAATGTACTGCTTATGCTTAATACTTGAAAGTATTAAATATTTGTCCTTCTTAGGTTTAATAAATATTTAAGGTTGTTTACTTTAAACTACAAAATAAGCTAAAAGTATTAACGACTAAATATTTAGTTAACTGACAAATTTAGAGGAAGAATATTAAATTTTTACATGGACAACTTGATAAACATTCATCCCTCCTTATTATAGAAGCAGTGAGTGCGATACTATTTTTAAACTATAAATATGTTCATAATGATTTGATATATGACACGTTACCTGAAAAGTTCCGGGCTAATCCACAGATGCCCTCTAAACAAAATCCATACCTTTCTTAGTTAGTCAATATTTGGTAACATTTCTTTCATAAATTATTAAAATATGAAATTTTAAGTGACTTAAACTTTGTTATTTCAAAGCAATGTGAAAAAACGAATTACGTGTATTGATTAAGAACTGTTTTTTTAAATGGACAAAAATACCGGTTAAGCTCAGCAATCTCTTGAAAAGTATAGTAAGGTCTCTGCTTCGTCGAAACAACGATTTGCCCGTGGTTTGCTGAGTTTACGGGGCAGCACAGGCAAAAGCGATGCTATGTGAGCTGGAGATACTAATAAAGCAGTTACTCCATAAGTACTAAAACAGTTCACAAAAATGTCGATAATGAATCGTAAAGGGTATTTCATGAGTTAGCTGACAACGCAAAAATATCTATGGAACGTGTAAGCTATAATTTGCACCAACATAAGGGCATGAATACCGACTTTGCTCTTAGTAGAGTAAAATTAACAACGTATTAATAATTCGGAACACCTTTTTAAAGTTGATTAAGTTTTTTTCTACAATATGTAACAATGGATGAAACCTGGATCCATCACTAAACTCCACATCGACAGTCAGCTGGGGAAAAAAGTGTGAAAATCGCTTAAAGGAACTTAAGATGCAACAGTCTTCAGAAAGGGCTATGGTCTTTGTATTTTAGGGTGTGCACGGTATGAAATTTTATTTGACTACCTTGCAAAAGGAAAACTATGAATTAAGAATATTATTTTATACTCTTGCCTTCGATTAAAGGGGTATTGGCAAATAAAAAACTTCAATGGTGATAAAAATAAGCTCGTTCATCAAGACAATGCATCGTATCAGTGGTTACGATGACTTAACTCCGCACCCACCGTACTTTCCGGATCTGACCCCCAGTAACTATTATTTAATTGCAGACCTCAAAAAATGCTCCAGAGAAAGAGAGTTCGATCACAAACGAGGAAGGTATTGCCTATTTTGGAGGCAATGAGAAATCATTATATTAAAATGGTGTGGATATGTTGAAAAAGCTTTGGATTGGTAGCACCCTCTTAAAGGAGGCTATGCCTGATGTGTAAGGTTAAATTTCGCGAAAAAGAGTTTTGTTTAATTAGTTAGCCCCGATACATTTCAGGGCGACATGTTATATATTCCTAATTATCGTAGTGGTAATGCTTGAAATACCTTTAAAGGATATATCTATATATTTCTTTTAGGACATCCGGTTAGACTATTTTCCTAAGTGTAGGGGCCTATAAATTACCTTATTTTTTTTAATTATCGAGCTTGTAATCTGTTAAGAAGTCCCTAATGTTAACTAGAGATTTTGTTCCCCTTTGACGAGCTCAAACTTTTTTACTGTCCGGTGCTTTATAATAGGAGATAAACAGGATTTGACGGTAGTAAAGACAGAAACAACGTATAGTAGAGTAGCTTAGCTTTAAATTACCTATCTTATATATTTCACAACTTTCGACCGCAGTATTTGGTTTTAAAAACTAGTTTAAGCCCTCGGAACACCACAGTAAACTATTTCATTGATAATCAGAATATTTAAATTAGCTATAAAAAATTTTTTATTTCCGAACATTGTTATTGCTTCCTGTCATAAAATCACAGTTGCAAGCTATGTTATTATCAAAAAGTTTACTATTAACCGCTGTATAAACAATTATGTTTAAAACCCTTTACCTAATGTGTTAAATAGTAAAGCCCTCGCAGATAACCGCAAAGTTATTGTTGTAACTGTCATGCATGGGGATAAGAAAACTTTTAATGGTTAAGACTGCACGGCCACTTCCATAAAAAACCTACTGGTGCTGTTTTAAAAAATAAAAATGTAGTAATTGAACTTTTATGGCTTTAACCCTTAAAAAATTAAAATCGGTGGTAAACCTGACCTCATTTTTTTACTTGAATACAACTATAGTATATAAGACAAACTATACAATTTAAAACAAATGGACTTCTAAAAACAAACTTTGTTTTCTCAAGAGCTTGTTAAAAAAATATAAATACCTTTTTAGTTAAAAATATTGTAACGATCAATAGAAATGCTGAAAAATTTTATAAAAAAATTTGTGAAATCTTTTGAGCGAAGAGGAAATTACGTTTTTAATTTGTGGAGGAAAGCAAAAGGCTCCATTTCTCGCGCTTTCGGTTTTCATTTGATTGCATCTTTAACTACAAGAAGCTGTATAAATAATGCAAGTTGAGAGAAGAAAAGTATATATATAGTATATAAAGCTTGTTGCGCCTTCTTGTCTTACAAACCGGGTCGATGTCTAGTTCGTTTTAAAACTCTTTGTTTGAATGCTTCAAAAACCCCTACCAGCTTATGCTATTCTGTGGCTCACCTGAAGTACAATATGCTGACCTTCGGTTTCACTTAGGGACCTTTGACTTGTGTGGTCCCTGTTGTTTGTTCTCTATCTCCACTGTTAGTATTTTCCTTGTTTAGCGTGTTATCTGATATCAAGAACTAGAGAATTTGAAAGGAAAACATGGTATTGAGGGAGGACACAGTTGCCTACGTGATATGTTTTGCTGTTGCTGCTCCATGATCCAGCAAGCCTCAGAGTGTGACTACAGAACTAGAGAACTCCTCCGGTCTGCAAAAAACTACCATCGTCAGTCAGCCCTCTAGACCTTAGTTGCTTACTTGTCTTTTTCGTATCATTTTTAAATATAATAAAGCTTTTTTTATCAACGGTTATTATTTATTTAACACAAGTTTTTATAGAAGCTTATCTCATAAAGTAATAACACAGCGTTTTAGACGAGAGTTCAAATTTTTTAAGTTAGATTCGTTTTTACTTATAAAAAAACGTTTGTTATGTAAATATCTCTCTATTAAGCAATATTTCGTTAATTTATTCAGTATTTAATAATAATCAAATACCTTTTAATACCAAACCAAGCAGGATTTAGAGGGTTTCTCAAGCAAAAGACAAGCAGAGTGAATGTAAAATGCAGTATTCTAACAAGTGCCGGGATCAATGTTTGTATAATCTGCCAAGGCTTTCAAAGATAGAAAGCACCTTCAAGTAAAGATCTTTCCTTGGACTACCTTTAGCCCGAGAAAATACTACTTATTTTTTCAATAAGTAACAAGTAAAGCTTTAAAACAAAAAGAAAGTTAAGACACGACTTCCAGAAAAAGTTAGAAACAAAAAAGCATTAAGAATAGAACTAATATACTAGCTACAATAGGAGCAGATAAGAACTTAAATACACAAACAGAAGTTTATTATTAAGTAGGAGTACAGCACCAAACTAAAAAAAATAAGCTCTAGAAGCGTGCAGTTAGTTGCGTAGAATTTAGGGAATACAATTGTCACAACTAATATGAAACCTGCCAACTATTTTAGAGTATAACTAAACCATACGTCTTCTTCATCTGATAAAATCAAAACTGTATATAACTGTAGTTGATATAAAAGTTTAGAATTACGATGTTAAATTTATAGACCAAAAATATTTTTAAAAAACTAATTATTTATCTTAAAAGGAGCATATTGTCGAAGCGGTTTAATATTTTAACTTAGTAAAATGCGTATGATAAAAAAGGTATGTAAAAATTTTTTACACTTAACGAAATCAAAATTATATACTTCCTTTAACAAAGACCCTTGAAAAATTATATTTGTTATGTATTCTCTATTTTAAACGTGCTATATACTCACCCTTGCATGTTTAAGGAAGGTACAACTCGAATATGTTATAGTGTTAAATAAATACCTATTAGCTTTAATTTTTGCCATCCTCCCACAACGCGAAGGTCTCAGTGTAAAGCATCGCTTTGCACGAATTAAAGTGTTCCCATTGACGTGCATCAGCTAGTTTAGTCGCACTTGAAGCGTTAATGTTATTACTGGCAAATCGTAGAACTAGGCATCATATTCGTACGTTATAGTTAGCCGGATATAGTAAACCATACAGGAGTTATGCTCTTATTACGAAGTAGGTACATAATTTTTATTACTAGTTTTATATTTTAATTAATTTTTTATATAATCTTTTTTTTTTTATAATTATTGTTAACATATTTTTTATTATAACTATTTTTTTATTTTCTTCTTTAATTAATTTTATTAGTTTTATAATTTAATTATGCTCTTATTACGAAGTAGGTACATAATTTTTATTACTAGTTTTATATTTTAATTATTTTTTTATATAATCTTCTTTTTTTTATAATTATTGTTAACATATTTTTTATTATAACTATTTTTTATTTTCTTCTTTAGTTGATTTTATTAGTTTTATAATTTAATTATTTTTAAATGAATCACCTTAAACTTCGTCCCTAGCTTTTTTCAAGTGCGACTATCACGCTCAACTCTTGGGGCAGTGATGGCCCATAAATTTTTTAACTTAGGGGCGCCATGGT